CACCGGGGAGCCTGAGGATGTGAGGACAATGAGGGGGACTTGGGGACAGGGGGACACTAGAGCCCACAGGGACACCAGGGCTTGGGGACAGCGCTCATAGGGATATGGGGACACAGGGGAGCACGGGGACATCAGAGCTTGGGGACACCAGGCCATGGGACCTTGGGGACCTTGGGGAGCACTGAGCGTGGGGGGAATAGGGACACTGTAGGGAGCAGGAACGTCAGGGCTTGGGGACATCAGGGCTTGGGAACACCGGGGAGCACCGGACACGGGGACAGCAGGTGACAAATGAGCCCGGGGCCACTGTGTGAGGGGACAGTAAATGTCCCAGGTGACACTCGAAAAAGCAGGGAGCTGCCGGAGGGACAAATCCGGGAAAATTTCCGGGAGAGCCGGGAAAATTATCCGTGGACAGAAGCGGCCCGGAGCTGTCACGAGGTTGGGAGGAAACGGCCGGGCGCGTGACCCTCTTCCCGTATGGAAAAGCGGCGGCGCTGGCCCCGGGACAGGAAGGAGACAGCGCTTGSTTTGGGAAGGAAAAGGGTGGATTAGGGAAAACGGCTCGAGTGTCCAGGGAGGGGAAGGAAACGGCGCTTGGTTTGGGAATAAAAGGGGTGGATTAGGGAAAATGGCTCCAGGGAGGGGAAGGAAATGGTGCTCGGTTTGGGAAGGAAAAGGGTGGATTAGGGAAAACGGCTCCAAGGAGGGGAGGAAACGGGGCTTGGTTTGGGAAGGAAAAGGACGGATTAGGGAAAACAGCTCCAGTGTCCAGGGAGGGGAAGGAAACAGTGCTTGGTTTGGGAAGGAAAAGGGCGAATTAGGGAAAACAGCTCCAGGTGGAGCCTCATCCGGATCAGAGCAGGAAAACTGCCCCTGAGAGCTTTTTGTGGTGGGAAAAACACCAATAAAGGGGGAAAAATCCTGGGAAACGAGCCGAGAGGCGGCGTTTGCTGCGCTGGTCGTATTCCCGCCGGGAACGTGGGGCGGGAAGGCCGACTCCTGCTCTCCCGCAGCTCATCCTGTTCGGGCTGAGCAACCAGATGGTGGTGACGTTCAAGGAGGAGAACACGGTGGCCTTCAAGCACCTCTTCCTGGAGGACTACACGGACGGCGCCGACGACTCGTACGCCGTGTACACGCAGCGGCAGCTCTACGCGCGCGTCTTCTACGCCGTGGACAAGGTGACGAGGGGACGGGGACAACGGAGGGGGGGACAACGGGACGGCGCTGAGCGTCCCCGTTTCTTCTGGCAGTACTTGGCCATCGCCAACGAGACGGTGGGGCGCTACGCCTACGTGCGGCCCGAGCGCGGCGCCAACCGCTCGGCGCTCATGCTCTGCCAGCACTTCTACCGCAAAGGGCGCATCGACCCCGCCAACGACACCTTCAACATCGACCCCAAGATCGTCACCGGTGGGTGGCAGCGCCCCCAGGGTGGGGGGACGCCGAGGGACCACCCTGGAGGTGACTTGGGTGCCCCCTCGTCGCCGTAGAGTGTCTGGGAGTGGAGCCGCAGGAGCCGCAGCCGCTGCCGCCGGAGCTCGACCGCAGCTACAGGAATTTCACCCTCAAATTCCACAAGTGAGAGCCCGGGCCTTGGAATTCTTGGAATTCCCGCCCTTTCCCGGCGCTCCGTATCCCGCCGGCTCCTCCGGGAACGCGAGGATCCCCGCTCCGGATTGCGGAAGCGGCCGCTTTCCGGAGCCGCTTCCCCTTTCTGCTGTCGGCAGCGGGCAGGAGGCTGCGACGGGGCTCGCGGCGGCTCCCTTGGTTATTTTGGGGGTGTTTTTCTCTTTCCACCTTCCCGTTTTCGTCTCTCCACCTTCCCATTTTTCCATTGGGGGCATTGTAATCAGATCCCTTTATTTATCCACTTTAATTCCCCCAAGATTTGGCCCCGTGGGGCTCGCGGCGGCTCCTTTGGTTATTTTGGGGGGTGTTTTTATCCTTCCACCTTCCCATTTTTGTCCTTCCACCTTCCCATTTTTCCAGTGGGGGGGTTGTAATTGGATCCCTTTATTTATCCGCTCTAATCTCTCCATGATCTGGCCCAACGTGGCCGGTTTCTGCTGCTTCCTACCTCCTCATCCACCTCTCCCAGTAGGACCCAGGTATCCGGGTGCTTTTCCAATGGGAAAACTGGGGCTCGGTGACCCCCTCCACCCCTCCTGGCAGGGTCAAAGGGGCCGCGTGGGGTGACCCCCACCCTAAACAAGCCCCAGGAGGCAGCGTTGACCGGTGTCCCCATCACAGGCTCATCAACGTCACCATCCAGTTCAAGCTGAAGGCCATCAACATCCAGACCATCATCAACAACGAGATCCCCGACTGCTACACCTTCACCATCACCGTGAGCGCGCGGGGACGACGGCGYTCCCGAGGGGACGGTGGCCCCCGGGGAGCCCCCTGCCCACTGTCCCCTTCTCCCAGATCACCTTCGACAACAAGGCYCACAGCGGCCGGGTGAAGATCCGCTTGGACAACCGGGCGGACATCAAGGAGTGCAAGGACCCCAGCGTCTTCGGACGAGGTAGGACCCAGGTCCAGCCCGGATGGGACGTTTGCTCCCTACTGGGCATCGGGCGCTGCACAACGGCTCCGGATTCGCTCCGGATTCACTCCGGGGACTCCCCCTTGGCGTCATTCGTTGAGAAGATCCCACCCGGACACCTTGCAGGTGACAACTCCTTCCGGCTCTTCTTCGACGTCGTCGTCATCCTCGTGTGTTCGCTCTCCTTCATCCTCTGCGCCCGCTCCATCATCCGGGGCCTCCTGCTGCAGCACGTGAGTGCCGGGGAGCAGAGCGGGATGTTCTCCAGCCCCGACGGGGCCACCACGTTCTGGAGGTGGCCCTGGGTGTCACACCGAAGTTRGGATGWGSYRSCWCATCCYAATTTTTCCCGTTTTTTCCCCATCCCTGAGTGCAGGAGTTCAGCCGGTTCTTCCAGCGCCGCTACAAGCAGAGCCTGGCCCTCTCGGACCGCATGGAGTTCCTCAACGGCTGGTACATCCTGCTGGTGGTCAGCGACGTCCTCACYGTGCTGGGCACCGTCATGAAGATCGGCATCGAGTCCAAGGTGCGGGGACGGCGGCGGGACCCACCGGGTCACCACGGGTGACGGGGGGGGTTGCTGTCACCAAAGGGACATTCCCTTGCGCCTCATGCCTCGTGCCACCACCTTGACGGGCGATGAGGYGGCCACGTTGTGGTCACCACGTTGTTGTGGCCACGTTGCCACCACCTTGAGGGGTGACGAGGACCACTCAAGGCTCTGCTGGGGGGTCAAGGGACAGCGGTGGCCCCGTCTTCAGCCCCGTGCCACCTCTGTCCCCGCAGAACTTTGCCAGCTACGACGTCTGCAGCATCCTGCTGGGCACCTCCACGCTGCTGGTGTGGGTGGGCGTCATCCGCTACCTCACCTTCTTCCAGAAGTACAACGTGAGTGGCCTTGGGGACACGGTCTGTCCCCCCTTGAGCTCAGGACACTCATTAGGGTGGGAGCAGCCTGGCACTGAGCCTAGAGATGTCCTGGTGGGCTCAGGACCACTGCACCACCTTGGGGCTCCCATCCTGCTCTTCCAAAGCCCTCGGAGTCACCCGAGGTGTTCCCACCACGCGTCCACGTTGGGGTTGTCCCCTTTCCCTCCCTCCGTCACCCTCGGCGGAGGAAGGGCGGCAGGATAATCCCGACCCTTCCGCCAGATTCTCATCGTGACGCTGCGGGTGGCCCTGCCCAACGTCATCCGCTTCTGCTGCTGCGTGGCCGTCATCTACCTGGGCTACTGCTTCTGCGGCTGGATCGTGCTGGGCCCCTACCACGTCAAGGTGCCTCTCCCGGGCACCTCRTCCCGCATTTTCCCCCTTCCAGGACCGTTCCTGCCGCCTTCTGGTTTGGGAGGAGATGGGAGCTGTGTTGGGTTGCCCGTCTTTGGGTTGGGGTTGCCCATCTTTGGAGCCTCCCATTGGGTTGGGGTGCCCGTCTTTGGGAGCCTCCCGTTGGTTTGAGGTTGCCCATCTTTGGGGGTGTCCTGTTGGGTTGGGGTTGCCTGTCTTTCGGAGTCTCCCTGGTTTGGGGTGTCCATTTTTGAGGGCCTCCAGTTGGGTTGAGGTTGCCCATCTCTGGGGGCTCTCCTTGAGTTGGGGTTGCCCATCTTTGGGGGCCTCCCTTTGGGTTAGGTTGCCCGTCTTTGGGGGCCTCCCATTGGGTTGGGATTGCCCATCTATGGGGGCCTGCCTTTGGGTTGAGGTTGCTTGTCTTTGGGGGCTCTCCCTGGTTTGGGGTGCCCATCTTTGAGGGCTCTCCTTGGGTTGGGATTGCCCGTCTTTGGGAGCCTCCCATTGGGTTGAGGTTGCCTGTCTTTGAGGGCCTCCCGTTGGGTTGGGGTTGCCYGTCTTTGGGGGCTCTCCTTGGGTTGGGCACCGTCTTTGGGCGCCTTGACGGCTCACCAGGATGGCTTGTGAGGTGCCAGGGAGCACTTGGTGACCAAAACAAGCCAAGACTTCCCCCAAGGGCTCTCCAGCTCTGTCCTCGGGGCTCTGGACCAGTCTGAGGTGACCTCCATCATCTCCCACCCCAGTTCCGCTCCCTCTCCATGGTGTCCGAGTGCCTCTTCTCCCTCATCAACGGCGACGACATGTTCGTCACCTTCGCMGAGATGCAGCAGAACAGCTACCTGGTGTGGCTCTTCAGCCAGATCTACCTGTACACCTTCATCAGCCTCTTCATCTACATGGTGCTCAGCCTCTTCATCGCCCTCATCACCGGCTCCTACGAGACCATCAAGGTGAGGGCTGCCACCACCACCGCTCGGTGCTGTCCCCAACGTGTCGCCTGGTCCCCAACGTGTCCCCGCCGTGTCCCCGCAGCACCAGTGCGAGGGCGAGACGCCCGTGTCCCAGCTCCACGCCTTCATCGCCGAGTGCAAGGACAGCCCCAAGTCGGGCAAGTACCGCCGCGAGAGCCCCTCGGCCTGCTCCGTCTTCTGCTGCTGCGAGAGGTGGGYGCCTTTTTGGGGACCCCCCCGAGGTCCCCCTCGTGTCTACTGTCCCCCTTAGCCCCTTTGCTTCGTCCCCTGGGCCCGAAGAGGAGGGTTTGTGGTTGTGTTGCTGCTGGTTCCTCTTCTCCTGGGCTGGTCCCACCTGGAGCGTGGACCTCTTGGCACCCTTGGGGTTCCTCTTCTCCTGAGGTGGTCCCACCTGGAGCGTGGACCTCTCCCCTTCCTCTTAGCACCCTTTGGGTTCCTCTTCTCCTAGGGTGGTCCCACCTGGAGCGTGGACCTCCAGCCTTCCTCTTGGCACCCCTGGTGGTTCCTCTTCTCCCAGGGTGGTCCCAACAGGAGTGTGGACCTCCCTCCTTCCTCTTGGCAGTCCTGGGGATTCCTCCTCTCCTGGGCTGGTCCCACCTGGATCATGGACCTCCCCCCTTCCTCTTGGCACCCTTGGGGTTCCTCTTCTCCCGGGGTGGTCCCAACAGGAGCGTGGACCTCCCTCCTTCCTCTTGGCACCCCTGGGGGTTCCTCTTCTCCTGGGCTGGTCCCACCTGGAGCGTGGACCTCCAGCCTTCCTCTTGGCACCCCTGGGGGTTCCTCCTCTCCTGGGCTGATCCCACCTGGATCATGGACCTCTCTCCTTCCTCTTGGCACCCCTGNGACCTCCCTCCTTCCTCTTGGCAGTCCTGGGGATTCCTCCTCTCCTGGGCTGGTCCCACCTGGATCATGGACCTCCCCCCTTCCTCTTGGCACCCCTGGGGCTTCCTCTTCTCCCAGGGTGGTCCCAACAGGAGCGTGGACCTCCATGCTTCCTCTTGGCACCCTTGGGGTTCCTCTTCTCCCGGGGTGGTCCCATCTGGATCATGGACCTCCCTCCTTCCTCTTTGCACCTCTGGGGTTCCTCTTCTCCTGGGCTGGTCCCACCTGGAGCGTGGAGCTCCAGCCTTCCTCTTGGCACCCCTGGGGGTTCCTCCTCTCCTGGGCTGATCCCACCTGGATCATGGACCTCTCTCCTTCCTCTTGGCACCCCTGGGGGTTCCTCTTCTCTTTGGGGGTTCCTCTTCTCCTGGGGTGGTCCTACCTGGAGTGTGGACCTCTTGGCCCCCTTGGGGTTCCTCTTCTCCTAGGGTGGTCCCACCTCGAGCTTGGACCTCCACCCTTCCCCTTGCCACCCCAGGGTCCCCTTTGGGGCTCCAACACTCCCCCGTGGGTGCCCACCTTGCGCTTCCCCCTGGGGATTTGGGGCAAAACCTCCTTCTCCCGTTAGTTTTTCCCTCCCTTTAACCCCAGAGGGGGAGGCCGGGCCTTATCCCGCTCCGCTTCCCRAGCCTCCGCCTCTTCCCGCAGGGCTCCGCTGGCGGACAACACGCTGCTGGTGAACTGAGGACCCCCCCGGCGCCGCATGGACCCTTGGGGGCCCCCTCAGCCCCCCGCTTTTATTTATTTTAACGTCGGCTTTTAATGAGCACCGGAGCCCGCCGCCCACTCCCGAGGGGCCGGCACCCCCCGGCGCCCCCTTTTCCAGCACCCACGTGGATGATCCTGGCACCCACGTGGATGATCCCGGCTCTATTTCCAGGACAGACAGGGGGGTTTTTCCCCCCCTTTCCAGCACCCAAACTGCAACTATGGGGCTCGGTCTCCGGGTGCTGTCCCCAGGGACCACCCCGCTGGATTTGGGAGCCGCCTCCGGAGGCCGGAGCTGAAGGCCGCTTTGTTTGGGCTCCCGGTGCCGGGCACGGGCCGGCGCCTCCGTCTCGCTCCCGGGGCCGGGTCAAGGGCCCGTTTTGTAACTGAAAGCCTGGCCTGGAGCCCGGCCAGCTGCTGCCTCCCCTTCCTCCTCCTCCTCCTCCTCCTCCGGGCTCCCAGCCCAGCATGGGGAAAGGGGCAGCAGCGGCGGGACTGCGTTTTGGGGAGGAATTGACCCTTTTGGGGAGGAATTTATCCCCCCCGTTCGCCCCAATTCCATCGCAGCAGCTTGGCGCTGCCTTTCCTCTCGTCCGGCCCTCCACTCCTGGACTGAGTTGTGGCCGGTCTCAGCCGCAACGTCACAGCAGGGGCCTGGTCCCCCCGGCTGGGCCCTCAGGCACCGTTTTGGGGCCACATCGAACACCAAGATGAGGGGTCCCCTGGGTGCCGCTGGGGACCCCTTGGGGTGCCCCCCTGCCCCCAAATTTGGGTGCTGGGGGGGCGCTGGGTCAATAAAATATCCTGGGAGGAAAAGCGACTCTGTGTTTTTGGGGGGATTCCTGGTGTCCCGTGGGGCCACCCTGGTGCTGTCACCCTATGGGGGGGGCGGTGCTGTCACCCTGTGGGGGAGGGGGGTGGGTGCTGTCACCCTATGGGGCAGGACGAGGCCCCGCCGCCCTCCCTGCCCGCTCTCAAAATGGCGCCGCGGCAGCTTCGCCCGCGTCGGCGGCCGCCACACCCAAGATGGCGCCCGCTCTCCGCCCCTTGCGCCGCTGCGGGGCTGCCCCTCCCAACATGGCGGCGCCGCCGC